TTGACTGTTGAATCTGTCGACTTATTTGTATTACTTATATTTTATCTTGTGCTATTCTGCTGTCCCTTTGCTGTATATTTACCTACTATGGGATTAATAAAGGATTATCTTATCTTAAAATAGATAGGGGGTAAAAATGGGACAGAGCTGATAGCTGCCCTCTGACCACTTCAGGAGAACACCCAAAACACTGAGGCACCATACAGGCTGATTATTGAGAGTGGTGTAGTCACAGTCCAAAGTTTGTGACAGCTTACACTTTGTGTACATTAAAAAAAAGGGATTTACCTATCTTTGGCTATATTTTTGAATGAATTTACACTTTCGTGTTAAGTGAAATAGCAGCATTTTTTTTAATTAATGGGAATCATTTGGTGCATTATTTTAACTATTTTTTAATTCAACACATTTGTCATAAACCTACAGAATAAATAATGAGCTCAGCCAACCAGAGCAAACATAAGTATTAGTCAGTTATTAGAACAGTTTGTCACAGCAGTTTGTCTTTAATGAAGTTTCAGGCTTTAATAACATTTGATTTGATTTTTTTCTTCAGTACAGAGTGTTTCTGTTAACTTAAAAAAAAAAAACAGAGCACTTCACATGTCTAATGATTAACTGTGTCCAGGAAGGGGTGTCACTTGCGAGGGAAGCCAAAAGCAATAATGTCGCCTTGTCTGAGAAACTAAGTTGTTCTGAACTGTATGCAAATTATTGACTAAAAGAAACGAGCAACTAATTCCTCTTCCAATTTTAAATGCATACCCTTGTTCACTTTTTAGCATCAACATGATTTAATGTTTTCAGGTGAGGAACATTTAGGGCTGAGATCATATGATCAAAACTGACTCAGGAAAATCATCTGACAATTAATTGCACAGTGAAAGGAAAAGGTCTCTCATCTTAAATCCTATACAGGGAGGTCAGAGGTCATGGTCCACTAAAAAACACCAAGTTTGGACCTATTAGATTGTTTGCTACAAATCACTTTTACAGTTGGGAGTGCTTGGTGACACAGAGGCTTAATCTGGTTCCAACTCAGCCAGTTAATGCAAATGGTAAATGTTAGTTTTCCCCAGTTCAATGGGACAGAACACAGAGACCCCAGACTGATAATGAACTGGGTTCAAAAACCATTTCAAGTTGAGTTTGATGTGTAGCAGAGCTGAAACTGAATCATCCGATCTGTTGTGCTGCTGAGGGTTTAAAAAAGAAACAGAGCTGTTTCATCTCGCCATATTGATGAAACCTTACACTGAGGATCAATGTGTGCCACTGCTGCAGCGTACAAAGCAAGAGGCCAAAAGTGAAGCACGAGACGCGACTTATTCCTTGACCAGCCTCTGTGGTGGATACATGCAGACATCTAAAGAGCCATTTCCCTCAAATGAGCAGACGTACTCCTACACTGGACTACGGCCTTTACAGCCAGTGACTGATTGCTTGGGTTGCATCGTGTCAAACAAAGAGGAGAAACAGGACCGACTGCTGTTGATTTAAGTCACTGGAGAAAATGTGAGTTATCTGACAGGCAGGTACTGATGTTATTAAAGCTACTCTACCTAACTTCTTTTCAGCCTACGGTCTAGTGAGACTCAAAACAAATTTATACCATAAGCTGCTCCTGTCCTAAAACTCAGAGCTGAGTCAGCATTTTTGCACTTCTGGTCCCCTCCCTCTGAAGTCTATAGGTTTTTTGAATGGGGTTTTAGTTAAACGTTTTGTTTATTTTCTGCAATAATCCAAAAGCCTATGGAAAAATCCCTTTGCCTTTTTGTCGAGTGAACCAGGGCGATGTGAACTTTCGGGCTGACCTACAAAAATACGTCATCCCTATCGCACTCTACAGCCTTCGCTAGATGGCAGGTGGAGTTAATTTGTGGACTGTACTTTGTGAGCCTCATAAAAGGGGGTAGCATAGCTGAAAGCCACCACGTCCTGCCCCATTTTCACTGTGGAAAATCTTAGCTAACTGTTTGAACAAATGACTGACAGCACTGTCACATGATCACCGGTTTATTATTTGATGCACGTGCTGACACACCTTCACAGTTTCTGACACAGAATAGGAAACATCAGTGCTAAAAAGACAAAAAACAAAACATGATTTTTAATCACTACTAAGTTCCTCTTAGCATTCAGTGCATATTCACAGTAGATCACACACAGGATGTGATAACCAAAATAGTACCAGGTAGTATCCCCAATATGTGACTGATGGAACCACACGGCAAGGCGGGCTGAACCGGTACCAGGCAGTGGAAAAGGCAGTGGTCACCTTCCAAGAAGATGACCAGGGTTCAACATGCGCCTGCTGCAGCTCCATATTATCAGTTCCAGTTCAGCAGAGGGGTGCTTGCAAACTCACCTCAAAGCAGCAAATTGTACACAAGAAATCCATTTACTATCCTGTCGCATCAACCTGCTGGCAGATAACCTTGACCCACTGTGTTACAGCAGCATTCAGACCTACCAGTTAAGACAAAAACACAGTGCAGCTG